AAGAATGATGAGTCAGCACTGCTCATAGTGATCAATAAATCCATGCTTATAACATCCCTAGACTTTGATTTACCCCTTTGCGTGCAAGGAGCAGCTAATAAAAATTACCCAATAATAAAAATAATTCAAATTAAATAAATAAATAAAAAAAACGATCAAGCCATGCTGCTTTCGCATTGGCTCACCGCCACGTACACCGTGCCCTGCACCGCTCGATCAGACTCGATCACCACCTGATTTCCCGACACGTTCCTCAAAGCATGGTTCGGAAAACCCGACCCGGTCTGCATCGTGTACTGCACCTGATCAATCCGGTTCGGAATCAACAACACCCTTGAAAAATCGACGGTCCATACCGTCCCATTCCCCTCCTTCGCCGCTGTTGCAGCCGTCGATCTCACCGTCATCCCCTTCACACTATTCCTCCCCACCACCACCTGATCGACGGTCCTAAACGCTCCACCTGTCTCATCCAATCCCACGATCTCCACCCCATTCCCACTCCCCGCAAACGTATTGTCAACGACGGCGACTCCGTTCATCACCCCGTTGACCGATTTCAGCACCACGTTAGCGTCCCCTAAGAAGAACGAACCCGACACGAGAAGCTGAACCGGGTCCTCCGACACGATACCCGTGTAATCCAAATAACAGTTCACGATTCGGTTTTGCGTCAGACCCGGTAACTTCAAATAGATTCCGGTCCCGCCGAAACCGGTGGCCTTGTTGTAGCAGTGAACGCCGGCGATGAGGTTGGCCTGACCGGCGACGAGAATTCCAATAGCGGCGGAGAAAATGACGACGTCGGCGACGGTATTGTCGTTGGCGAAGAGGCGGATGGCGTTGCCGGAGAAGTTACGCTCGCCGGGATCGCTGCCGGCGGTGATGTGTTGACCGAGAAAGGAATTGGTTATGAAGGTTTCGTGGCCGTCTTTGATCCAGATGCCGTCGGTGGAGAAGTGGACGATGTAGCAGCCGTCTATGAGGGTGCGGAGGGAATCGACGACGGCGATGCCGCCGGAGCGGTAGTTGCCGTCGAGGAGGA